GATAGAAACATCAATGATGAAAGAGAATCATTGATCAGCTGCCTCCTGTGCGCCCTCTACTGGGATGGAGCCCGCAACCCAGGCATGTGCCCTTGATCTGGGACTCTTCAGTTTGCATGGCCGACTCTCTATCCACTGAGCCAAACCAGCTAGGGCTCAACCTGCTTCTGATCCATCAGCCCTCCACTTGTGACCTGTCAAGAAGGATGCAATCTCTGCTCCTCCCTATACTTGGTGATAAGGTAGATTTGGGAACAGGAAACTCTGAAGCAGCTTGTGGCTTCAACTGCCCAGAGACACCATTGAGTCATTTCCTTTTGGGGGACCTGCAGCACCTCTGGGCTCTGCAGTGGGGTCCCTCCTAGCACTTCTCTGGGGAACTTTCCATGTTTCCAGCTCTCTCTTTTTTTTTCTTTTTTCTTTTTCTTTTTTCAAAAAGCAGGGCACAGGAACTTCCTCCCTGCTGTGGGTGTTGGACTGTGCCCCCCTAAAATTTATATGTTGAAACTCTAAGCCCCAATATCTCCCAATGTGACTGTATTTGGAAATAGTGCCTTTAAAGGGCAAATTAAGATAAAATGAGGTCATTAGAGTTGGCCCTAATCCAATATGACTGATGTCCTTATAAAAAGAGATTAGGTCACACACACAGAGGGAAGGCCATGCAAAGACTCAGGGAGAAGGTGGCCACCCACAAGCCAAGGCTTCAGAAGGAACCAGCTCTGCCCACACTTTGTTCTCAGACTTCCAGCCTCCAGCACTGTGAGAGACTAATTTCTGTTGTGTAAGCCCTCTAGTTTGTGGTACTTTACTATGGCAGCCCTAGCAAACTAATACAAGACTTCTCCTCTTTCCACACGTCCCAGGTCATCTTGTTCTTGACTGAGAGGGTGGGGGGCGGGGGGGCATTGGAAGTGGGATCTTTATAAGCGAAAGAGAGAGGCAGAGGCTGAGAAGTTGTGCAGTGGAAGCAGAGGTTGGAGTGATGGATGCAGTTGCCGGGGGGAGGGGGATCCACAGGCCAGGAATGCAGGTGGCCTCTGGAAGTTGGAAAAGGCAAGAAAATAGACCCATCCCTAGAACTTCCAGAAAGAATACAGCCCTGCTGACACCTTGATTTTAGCCCAACAGAACTGATTTGGACTCTGACCTCTAGGACTGGACGATAACCAATTTGTGTTGTTTCAAGCTTCTAAGTTTGCAGTAACTTGTTACAGAAGCATTGAATCCGTAGGTCAGATTGGAGGGTATGGCTATCTTTATAACATTGAATCTTCCAGTCAATGAACATGGTATGATTCTCCTTTCAATGAGCCTCAATAATGTTTCATAACTTTCTTCACAAATAATTTGAACCATTTTTAGATTGATTTCTCAGTGTTTCACATTTATTGGTGCTGTTATAAATGGCATCTTTTTAAAATTATATTTTCTAACATCTGTTGCTAGTATATACAATGCAATAGATGTTTGTAATCATCACAATGACATTGGAAAAAGTCCCTAAATGGACATTCTTCTCTTGTTTTTGATCTTTAAGTGAATGCTTTCAATGTTTCACCATTAAGATGAATCTGTGATAAGATTTTTAGGTAGTCCTTATCAGATTAAGGAAGTCCCCTAATTTGCTAAGAGATTTTTTAAAAATAATGAATGTGTTGTATGTTATTAAATAGTTTCCCTGGATCTCTTAAGAATATCGCACGATCCCATCCCCCTTAGACTGATAATGTGGTGAATTATGTTCCTCAATATTCTAATGTTAATTCAGCCTTTATTTCTGGAATAAATCCAACATGATCATGATGTATTTTTTAATACATTACCATATTTAATTTGCTGATGTTTGCATTTGTGTTTTGGAGGGAGATTTTTCTGACTCATAGTCTCTATTTCAGCATTGGGTATTAAGGCAGTGCTGGCTTCATGAAAGGAACTGGGTGTGGGTACTATTATCTATGTTCAGGAACAGTTTGTATATGGTTAGCAGGTATTTAGTAGAATTCATTGGAAAACACATCTGGATCCGGTGTCTTATTTGTGGGAAGGGTTTTTTTGTGGAGGAAGGTTTTAAAGGTATTATTCAACTACGAGGCCTGGTGCACAAAAATTTGTGCACTTGGGGGGATCCCTCAGCCCGGCCTATGCCCTCTTGCATCTGTCAGTG